GAATCTAATTTATTATGGCCTCATTTTTTTTAAAGAATTGATCTCCTATTCGAAATTGGAGGGGGCGACACTTTTTGTCCACCCACTTCTTCGGGCTCTTTTCAGTAGACGAACTAGTTTGACAATTAAAACAGAATTGAGCCACATCTAGCAATTGTACCCAATTCTAACAAGCGTCAACAAAGTGGTGCAAGTATTCTTCGAGCAAGCAACGGAATCGCTCTGTCTGTTTATCGGTCTGGGACAAACCATATTTGTTCTCAGTGAGTCACTCGACTTGCGACTTAGCCAACTGTTTTTGTGCCGACATCGTTTCGGTCTTTGATGGGACTAGGAGCTAGTGAAGCTTTGACACCACTTGTCATAATTGCACTTTTTAGGTAGCAGACTAACGACTGTGCAGTACTTACTCTAATCCACCTAACAAGTTAGCATGTGAAAATCAGACTTTGCAATCAATTGTAACGTATGGTCGAACCTCGAGCCATGTTTTGAGAGAAATTTTTTTATAAAATGTGATTGAGAAAAATCATTAAAAACAAATCGAAATTAGGCATCGTGAAAGTCAATTGCATTGAAAAGATTTGGGCAAAAGAGATTACAACATTTACTCAGAGAGATTTGATGACTACTTAGTCTCCTACAGTACATTTTGATGCGATTCATGTTTGACAAACCTAAAAACGATTTTGCCGAACGGTCATACGAACAAAAAAAAAAAAAGTAAACTAATACAACATGAAAGAAAATAAAGGGTTTGACATGACATAGACATGCGTCCATAGGCAATACACTCTAAATAAGCATGACCTTGAGCACGGCTCGGGTGCGGGAGGGGGATGGTGATAGTGATGGGCCTAATAGAGAAAGTCCTATTAGGTCAAATAATGGGCCTTGGTGGGCCGGTGCTTATTTTGATTTCTTGGGGCCTTGAGCTTCCAAAAAAGTAGGAGCCTAGTCCCGTATGCGCCCCATCCTTATATAATCATAATTTTCTTCTCTTCTTCTTTGCCCAGCCGGGGAAACCCTAATTTCGTTTTGCTAGAACCTGCACATTATCAGGGGTAGCTCTGTTGCCAGTTAGTAATTTTCTCTCTATCGGCTATACGCAATCTTTATTTATCCTTTTTAATTTGAATTCACTGTCGCTTTTAATGAGTTTTTCCTCGGTTTCTAAATGGATTTCTGATAATATAATTCTTTGCATTTGGAATTAGAGCTGTAGTTTTGTTTCACCCTCAGAGCTATGTGGTTCTATTCTCTTTAACTCTGGTTAGAAGAATTTTCCGAGTGCATTTTTAGTATTGGACTTTTAGGAATATGATTCTGGATGTGTACATTTAGCCTGATAGAGGAAAGATAAGTAAAGACGGATTTCATTACTTTTCGTTTTTCAGAATCGATGAAAGAGAGAAATGTTCTGTTGCTATGAATATATTTTCTCCTTTTTTCTTAATATCATCCTCAGCGTCGTCAGTCTAGTTAAAATAATTAATCGTTGTTCTGTGTTTCAATTGTTTTCCATCTGTTTTTTTTTTCTTACAGCTATTTTATCTTCACATTTTAGACGAAATTCTTGTTCTAGTTTATTATTAATCATTGATAATTTGTATATCAATACATTTAATAGGTATTTGCAGATTTTTCATTTTTCTTTATTCTTTTTCTTGGAAGTTGTTATTAAAAACCATTTTATGCAGCCAATCTTAATTATTTAGGGTTTAGGGTTTGATGGCTTCAGCATTTTGTTGAACATAAGCGAGAAAGTGATTGGAAATATCATAGTTCATTGGAAGTTGATTAGTTTGTTCGATATCTATTTTCTTAGTTATGGGTGAAGAAGTCAAAGCATTGATTCCGGAGTCAGTTTTGAAGAAGACGAAGAGGAATGAAGAATGGGCATTGTCAAAGCAGCAAGAATTTGAAGCGGCCAAGAAGAAGAATACAGAGAATCGTAAGCTGATTTTCAACAGAGCTAAGCTATATTCAAAGGAGTATGAAGAGCAGGTATACTTTGTTTTCCCCCTTCTTAAGTTACCTATTTTGTTATGTTAAATCCCTTGAGTTTGATGCTTTCATTTTAGAGCATTTACATTTGGTTCTTGAATTTGAATAGGAAAAAGAGCTGATTAGACTGAAGCGTGAGGCCAAATTAAAAGGAGGATTTTACGTTGTTCCTGAGGCTAAATTATTGTTTATCACTCGCATTCGTGGGTATGTGTCTTTTTTGAATGAACTGATTTATTGCTATACATGATCTTATGTTCTGATGTCCCAAAATTTGATGAAATATCAGTATCAATGCCATTGACCCAAAGACGAGAAAGATATTGCAGCTGTTGCGTTTGAGGCAGGTACAATATCAAAAGTTAACATGGTTGAGTTAGTTCCCTATTGTTGTTAGGCCTAGTGATCGTAATATTTGGGCAAGTTCGAAATGCTTGTATAGTTTTTGATTAATACAGGAGAGATCTAGCTGGTTGTTATTGTTTGTGCGATAATTGCTTCTTTTTTTTGTTTCAGATTTTCAACGGTGTCTTCCTCAAAGTAAACAAAGCAACATTGAATATGCTTCACAGGGTCGAGCCTTATGTGACCTATGGGTATTTCTCGCCGTAGAGATTTTAATTCTTAGAACTTTCTTCCTCCTTAACAGACTGTTTGAAGTACTAATGCGATTTTTTCAGCTACCCCAATTTGAAGAGCGTTAAAGAACTTATTTACAAGAGGGGTTATGGGAAGCTAAACAAGCGGAGAGTAGCATTGACTGACAACTCAATTGTGGAGCAGGTCTCTCTCTTTCCTCCATCTCTTATTCTCAGCTAAGTTTTAATGGTTAGTGTTTCTTATATTCTCTTATTGAATGAAGGCTCTGGGTAAATATGGCATCATCTGCATGGAAGATCTCGTCCACGAGATCATGACTGTCGGTCCTCACTTTAAGGAGGCGAATAACTTCCTATGGCCCTTTAAGTTGAAGGCACCTTTGGGCGGATTGGAAAAAAAGAGGAATCATTATGTTGAAGGGGGAGACGCTGGCAATCGCGAGAATTATATCAATGAGCTTATCAGGAGAATGAACTAGGTGAGGAACAATTTTGTTGTCGTTGATTCTTGCTTCTTTTTGTCCAATCGCTGGAAGTAGAAACAATTTTGTTCACAAAGTTAGTCAAGTCTTTCTACATTTAAGTAGCGTAGACTTCGTTTATGTCGGATACTACACTTTGAGGGCCTTAATACTAATGGTAGTTTTATCTTTTCAATTTTTATTTGGTTGTAATAGTAGGATTAGAAAGGCTTTTATAAGTTTTTTATATCATAGAGGTCTACTGGTGGCTTAAAATGTTGACAAACTAAGGCCAAAAGATGTAGAATATGAGCTTACCTCATTCCTGCGAGACCATTTTAAAATAATAGTCCAATAACATGAAATACTATTAACAATACTATAAACACTCAAGACCATTAATACAAATTTAAAAAATTGCATTAAATACTATTAACAATACTAAATATGAAAATAAATATGAAAATAATATAACGTAATTTTGTAACGTTATATTTGTTCAAATTCTCATTCAAATATTCAAATAAATATGAAAATAATATGATAAGTTTCACTTGTTTTGAGTTTCAATTATGCTATTTACCGTTTCTATACTATATTATTTTCCTCCTTAAAATGGGTGAGAACAAGTAAAGCATATAGGAATTCTAAAATTTGGAGACTTATCCCATGATGAATTAACGAGAATTAAATTTAGAACATGAAGTCTGAAATGAAAGAGAACGAACAAAGAAATTAAAGGCAATCAAACCTAAGATTACTGTTGCTTGATAAATTTCTTCTTATCGTTAATTAATCATTTTCTATATTGTTGTTCTAGTTTTTACGAGCGTACACTTCCCATTAACTCTATTCATCCAGAATTTCTCTCTTATCAACATCTTTCATTCACTCATGTTTTAATTTTTTCATAATACATACTTTTTCCTTGTCATTTTGACTATAACTCCAACCTCGGAATCTACTCCTCTAACCACTACAACTTCGAACATTCCCAAGTTCCTTGAATTTTCTTGTTCCTTCGATTTTCGATAAATTCTACCTCCAAAGGTGATTGTTTTCTAACAAAGTTAAATGTTAAGAATTTAATGTCAACACGAGCATACTTCAATTCAATAGTAATTAACATGTATACTATTTTTTTAAGATTTGGAAGTTCAAATCCAGCTAAGTCCACCTTTTACCACTATTTTTATAACCTCTTGTCATATAACATTTCCTTTTTAATCTTTAACCAAAAAGTTGATGGAAGGGTTTTTTAAAAAAACAGTTAAGGGTAAAAGTGAAAATTTTCATAATTCAAATCTAAGTTAAAATGTAAGGATATTTTGTATAATTCAAGCTATAAAGTTAAAATTAAGCGTTGAATCAATTTAACTCATACATAATTGGAGCTTAGGTTTCATTTGTTATACTTTTGCAATAATAATAATAAAAAAAAAAAAGTCCAATATCAAAGGTTTTTTCTTACCAACTTGAAATGAAATAAATTTGGAAAGGGCGGAGAAACTAAAATGTCTATTTAATTTGAATTTGTGGGGTATGAAATTGAGAACAGAAAAATAGCAGAAAGATTTCTAACTATTGGCTAAATGTATTAAATATTTTTTTAATTGTTAAAAGACTCTATTGTAATATTGGAATTTTGGCAGTAAAATTATATTAAAAAATAAAAATAAAAAAGTCTTTGGAAAGAAATATATATATATATATATATATATATATATAGTATAAGAGCTAAAACCTTACCAATTTTCTAGGGAGAATCTCTGCTTCCATTCATATGAAAATAAATGAATTTTCTTACCAGAAATAAAAAATTGGAAGAGATGTCGGGAAAAAGAATGGAGAAGAGTTTCTCCATCCCAGCCCGTGGACATCTTCTAAAGGAGAAATGAAATAGAGGAATGTTGCTGATATTGGCAAGAAGATGTTCGAATCAAGACAGAAAACGCGTACACTTTGATTCTATTTAACATTAATCGTCAATCTTGTTTGAACTAGTTCGAATTTCTCCACAACACGAACACGAACACGAACACGAACACCAACCCCAATCCCAATCCCTACTACAAGAAGCTTTCTCATGCCCTTTCCCTCCACCAAAAACGTGGAAAAGAAACTCTCGAAAACTATACACCAAAACTAAAAACAACACCACCCCATCCCCTCTTTAACCCTTGCAATCTCTGTCAACTCATCAGTCCTAACCTACCTACCTACCACCACCAGCAAACCCAAATATTAAATGAGGAAAGAAGATTCTTACGTGAGCAAAGGCTCAGTGTGTCAAGCGAGTTCCTGATGCTACACGGCTATCACATCGTTCGAGTTCATGATGCTACACGGCTATCACATCGTTCTTCGACGCGTCTTCACACTGCAATACAATACCTTCAATACTAGCTGGAAATATGCACTTGCTCCATTCACACCCACTTGCGATCGGATCAGGCGGAGGGACAATCATTAGCACATTTTCGTTTCTATGAACAACTCCCATTACACTGACCGTGCTTCCTTCCTTGATATACCTGCACATTTCACAAATAACAAATAGTAAGACCTGCCACATAACCGTTCTTCAATGATACAATGTACTAGTTCAGAGGCGCTCATAAGCTCAATATGTACCAATATGAACCATGCATTTAGGGTAGCATTGATTCTAAATTACGTGATGATTCTGGCACTATCACTAGTCCTAAAGACCGTTTGAAGTTATTTGCAGGAGAATAGGATAGGATCAATGATGACTAAAGATTGCCGGTACCAACAGTTGAAGCGATCATCAGAGGTTGTAAAACAATTCACCATATCATGGAAACGACTCTTAAAATTATCTACAATAATTTAATAGCCTAATTTGAAAAAAAATGCGAGACCCAAGACATTCCTTCAGAGGCTCTAAAAAACTATATTTGACACTTTCTGTAGTTCTGGCTTTCTTCATTTTGCTAAGTTTCATCAAATAATGAATGGAAAAGTATAATCCGTAGTTATGAATTATTTCAAAGCATCAACAAAATAGGTACATTACCCTTCTCTTAAGCGCATTAATCGACCTTCACTTGAAAGATTTCGTTCTCCTAACCACCTGACAAAGTCGGGAGATAATTCTTCATTTACTGGATTAACATCAATAACAATTGGATCGTCAACATACGGAGTCACCCTGGCTCCACAACCAGACTTAACCAATGCTCTTAATCCAGATTGAAAATCAGAGATGTAGAAGTCAACCACATGTCTCTGTGAATAACAGCAAAAAAAAAATACAGCTGTAATTGGCTTGAATAACAAAATTGAACTTTCAAATCAAGCAACAATGTAGCTGAGGACATTTATAGACAACTTCAAACTGCAGATAATTTTAGTACCTACATAGGTAAGTAAATGGTGTGACAATATTTTATGGCTCATTGATTCACCATGTAAACTCCAATTAAATTAGTGAATCATACTTTTAATCGGAAAAAGAACTTCAATGCTCATGAGTTTGTAAGAAAAATTATATGATAAAATGAACCATAATATCCCATAATCCCCAGCCCCACACTTTGAACCCCATACACACGAGAGAGAGAGAGAGAGAGAGAGAGAGAGAGAGAGAGAGACAATAAATTAACTTCAAGGAGAATAAAATTAATCAACCATAACAATAAATTGAGTCCTGAGTCACTCACTTCTAGTGATCTGAGCCCCCAAGTAAAACGGCGATGTGTAGGATTGACAGCTTTGGAACTCCATCCGCGGTACTCATATAAACTCGTCGATGTATATACACATCTTGGAACTTTTTGGAAGGATGACTCCAGGGGCATGTTACCACAGGTAACCACCTTTAGAACATGAACAAAACAAATTACAATTAACATATAAAGCAGTATAACGATAACATCACAACAAGATGAAGAAAGTGATTTTTTTTTCCATTTGAGGAAATGCGACATTTCACTTCCTATGTGCCCAGAAATCTATCTATAACATATTAGACAATGGGCATGGATAAGATATCTCTAACAATTGAATGTATCAGAACTATCAGAAGATGTCAATGGCCACAAAGGTCTCCCTTCCAAACGTACGCAGTCAACAGAAATTTCTTTTAAAAAAATCAATATATCTTTAAGTGAACTTCGAAAATAATTACCTAAACCAAGTCCAGTGAAGTTGTTTCCGCATAAATGTAGTTATATCATGAAAATAGTATGTTTTCCGCTAAATTTTGTGTAAATATCTAAACTACCATAAGAACTCAAAACAAGTACATTTTACTAATATCAAGAAACATACTTACCCCGGAGACCTTGACAAATTGTCCATTCTTTGCAGTCCTAAGTTCAGAATCTGGATAGCGAGCAATGAAACCCATAATTGCTCTTCTTCCCCAGTAGGTATTCCAAATGAAAAGTGTACAAACAGCAGCAAAAAGAACCACAACCACAATGAGGAGGATTGCATTATGGACAGCTCCAAGAATAAAGCCCCCAGCAATAAAACCCATCACAAATAGAAGAATTAATGACCATAATACTATCTTAGGGAAGTTCTTTGCAAATGAATAATCATCATCATAAGTAAGAGTAGTTACAGCATGACTATGAGCTGCAGAACCCTGTAATTTAATGGATCCCATAGATTCTAAAGGACCAGAAACCTTCCTTGGAGCTCCAGAAGAATTTAGAGGTCCTGAAGAAATGGGTCCTGATGTGATAAGGCCTGTTGCAGGTAGTACAGGAGGAAGAGGCCCAGAGTTTTGACGACCGGTAGGTGTTACTCCACCAGACTGTGGACCAGACAACTTTACAGGTTCCCCATGCTTGCTCAGAGGTCCAGAATTTGATTTTTTCAATGAAGCTGAACCAGAAAGGCCTTGAGAAGGTAAAGAACCTGAGGTGGTGTACATGGCGCGAGATGTAGCATTAGGCATGATAGGTCCAGAGTGAGATGCAACACCTCCAAAAGATCCAGACCTCATGGAGCCACCAGTTATAGGTCCTGACTTCTTGGACTTGGAGCCATCCACAGGGATATCAAACATCTTCCCTAGCTCTCCTGATTTCTTAATATCTCCACCAGTATAGGGCATGGGTACAGAGCTCATCGTTGGGGTTCTCTCTTTAGGCTGCTCAGGCCTCCCTGATACGTAGAGGCCATTGCTAAGCTGATGGGATTGTATTCTGGAACTCATCTTGCCTCTTCAAAATATTCGACAGGAATTAACACAACAGAAATATCAGCAGCTGATGTAATGCTCAAGTCTCTCCTGAGGACCAAAATATTCTAATTAATTTTATTCAAAACATCAAATATGAGTCAGAGACAAAAGATGTGCATGATAATCAAAACAAATATGTCTTGAAAGCTGAATTAAGAGCTACAGGTAAAGTTAGGAGAACATAAACCATGGATAGCCAAAGGACTGCATTAATGTATTTGTTGTTCAGATAATGTATTTGGGGTTTCCAATAGAATTAGAATTGACTAGCCCTAAATAAATAGATGGTTAAAATAACTTTTCGGTTCCTTAAGGTTTGAGTTTAGTATCTATTTGGTCCATGAGGCTTCAAAATGAACATTTTAGTCCCTTGAGGTTTGGAAAATTATAAAATGTTCTCAGACTATTAGTTGACGACTGGATGATGACATGGTAATCAAGCTGTTGATTGTGTAATGCTGAGTTGACAATTTTATTAGTTTAATAAATAAAAGAATTGGTGAGGTGGCTTCTCCTCTCTCCAGTCATTCTCCTTCCTCTCTTCTTCTTCTCTTTTGGCCAAGCTCACATCCCCGCCCGTCTCGTGGATCATAGTCTGGATCTCTCCAACTCTATCATCGCTAATGGACTATTCCCCATTTCCAAACCCCATACTCTGGCAAGGCATATGCAGAGCACGCTGACCTAGATTCTCCAATCCAAGGACAAAACAAACATTACACCACCGCAACTCTTCCCAATTTCAAAACCCGCCATTTCTCTTTTTCCTCCTTCCCCCCCATTAGTCGCAACTTTCTTTCCCTAACCTGGCGCCGCAATTAAAGCCAGCAGATTCTAGTTGGATGCCGAACAAGAAAGCTTGAACGTGGAAATTTCACTGTACACGCAAGGATTCGACCATGGTATTGGAATGATGGAGGAAGATTATCACAACCCATTATCAGCTTCGGGTGACCGAATGGACCTTTAAAATCTTTTCGTTTTACTAAAAAAAAAAAAAAAAAAAAAAAAATCATTTTTTCTTGATCCTTCAAATGATTGGGAATGTAGGTCCATATTTATAATACCATTAGAGGAAGGAAAGACTGGACAAAAGATTATTAAGAATTGTGATCAACTAATTTGCTCCATACTTTATATTGTCTTCGTTTCATACCTCGATTCAGGAACTGACAAAAGAACTCTACTTCGTTCCAAATCTAGAACGGAGAAAAAACATTTCATGACTGCAATGACAACAATTAACAGGAAGATGAGAAAGGAGAAACGTAGTGACGGCGGTGGCAAACTTAATTGGAGGAATAGAAGGGAGAAGGGTCGAGAGGAAAGAAGTGGAAAAGCCACGCCACTAATAATAATATTAAATTAATAAATTTTCCCACTCAACATTACACAATCAACATGACACCTCAATTTTTGTGAGTCAATTAACGGTCCAAGGACCATTTAGAACTTTTGTCAAACCTCAGGGAATAAAAAATGTTCCTTTTGAAACCTCGAGGATCAAATAGACACCAAACTCAAACCTTGGGGTCAAAAGTATAATTTGCCCTAAATAAATTATTAGGAGAGAACAAAAGGGTTAGCCGCTTAATAATTCAGCATACTTAGCATTAAACTAGATTTAAACACACATTCTTATCTGATAAGTAGAGTAATGCAGGGCAAGATCAGAAGATGATTGTTAAATGAGAAAGAAACCCCACAAAAGGGTAATCCTAGGTACATATTATTATGGAAGACCGAGAGAGAATATCTATGCCACAATCCCATTTTCTTTTCATAATGGTCATGGATTGTCTCAGTTGCCTACTCACAAAGGCCAAATGTGAAGGATAGATAAAGGGCTTTCAGAGTGGCAATGAAGGTTTTAAGCATCAACCACCTTCCGTTTGTAAATGATACAATCCTATTTTTTGATTTGTCAAATGTCTCTTCCGTACAAAAAACATGATCAAGACAGTAAAAACATTTTAAAAAAAATCTTTGGACAAAATATCAATCTCCAAAAAAAACAAAGATTATAGGTATCAATGTTAGCACAAAGATTATTGACGAATTTTCCAATAGATAAGGTTGTAAAAAGGGTGAATGGTCGAATATGTACCTAGGATTACTCTTGGAAACCACAAATATTTTTTCCTGCTAGAAGACTATTATTGAAAAAATAGAAAGAAGGCTCTCAACATGGTCATTATGTCATGCATCAAAGAGCGGAAGGCTCACCCTAAAACAAGTCACACTGTCCAACCTCCCTACTTGCTACATGGCTATTTGAAATGTTACAAAAAGTGGTTATGTATAAAGAAAGATTATTCATAAACTATCTACAAAAAGATAGTCCACACCTTGTTCAATGAAATATATAATAAACCTCCCAGTAGACAATGGAGAACTCGATCTACTTTCGGTAAAAGAGAAGAACTAAGCTCTCCTCGCAAAATGTATGGGGAAAACTTATAAAGACTATCTTCTGCAAAAGGAAATCAAAAGAGAACTAAATATACTCCTACATCGCGTAAAAATTGACCCCTTCTATCTTCTGCAAAAGGGCTATGGAAATATCTTAAAAAAAAACACCAAAACCTAATCACTAGCGGAATTCGCCAGAGGGTGAGTAATGGGGGAAGCACGTCATCCTAGACCAACCCATAGATTGAATACGCCACGTTAGCCCTACGGTATCCACTTTTGTATAGACTCTCTCATAGAAAAAGAGTTACGATCAAAGAAATGTGGAATGATGTCAACAATTTATGGGACCTGAAGCTTGGTAGGAACCTAAAAGATAACGAAACCACGGAATAGGCTGAATTAAGCCTCGATCTTGCCCCATTTGTATTGTCTAATGACGCAAACTCATTGGCATGGCTTCCCATCGAGGTCTTCTTTACTAAGGAAAAAATGAACATAAGGAAAAAAGTAGAAGCAATAACTCCTACGCTAACAAAGACAATGTGGAAAGGAGATCACCCTAAAAACGTGAAGTTTTTCTTGTGGAAAATAGCACATAAAACAATTAGTACAAGTGAAAATCTTAAAAAAGAAAAGGCTGCCCTACATGACTCTATTTCCGAATTGATGCCAGTTATGCAAGAAAGACAACGAATCACAAAGCCACTTATTTATGTAATGCACATACACTTAAAATTTATGGACAAAGATTCCCAATATCTTCAGAGGGCGAAACAGCAACATACATTAGTTAAGAAAATCTTAAATTACAGGAACATATTCATGATAAAGACCATCTAGAAAAGTGAATATTGAATGACTTTTTGATGAATAGAGGAGAAGGGGTAAGAAACATACAGATATTATCCACAGTGAACCTATTTTAATGGAACCTTTGAGGGTAACTTGGTACATTGTCAAAAATCAGATAATTAAGCAGCATTAGCTTCTAATCCACCTAAATAGTTAACCATTAAGCTAGGAATTCAATTAACAGGAAGGAAAAATAAAAAACTGGAATTCCGGACGTTATTCAAACAAAGAGAGCAACCCGTATCAACTGATAGACAGAAGTGATGATGAATAAAATGTTTAGAGTTGAGAAGTTGGGACATGTGCAGGAAACTAGACGACATGGAACTGGCATAAATGAAAAGAAATCCTAGGAACAAAGTTCACTACATGAATGTCCCCCCACCCCCAAAAAAAGGAACATGGAGAAACTTCATTAAGTCTTACCCTTATCCTAAAGGGAGAAAAACGGCAGAAGGAAAGAACCGAAATTAGGATGTTCTCACCAGTTACGAGAAAATAAAGGATTTAATATCTCGTGATTGGCACTGAAATTGATTAAGGCACTAGGATCTGTAAGAACACATACATGATTGAAGATTACAATCAATTGAACACTTGATTAAAAAAGAGAATCATCAGCTGACCAGAAAAACAACAAGAACAACAAACGAAAACACATCCATCAGAGAAATGGAGAAGATCTACGAGGGAGGCGGGATTCAGGAAGAGCAGACAGAAAGTGGCAAAGTAGTAGAGTAGAAACGAAGTGAAAAGGAGAGAATGAAGATAGGGAAACACAATTTTCAGCACTTACCAGTAGGAAAAGCAGTGGCAGCAGCTGTAATGGGAGGAGAAATCCAGAGATTAGGAGACATAATGTGTCAAAAACAGAAAATTCCAAAACCAATCCAAATCTCAGTCTCTCAATTCCTCTCTAAGACTTAGCTCCCTTTCTCTCTCGCTCGCTATCCGAACTTCCGTCGCTCTCCCTCTCCTGCGGACAACCGGATCGACTGGTGGGTTTTGTCAGTCCCCTTCCAAAAAAAAATTTATAAAAATCTAAAACAGAATTGGAAATAATTAACTTTGTAATTATTGATAATCATCACTATTCAGTACAGTCCTTTTTTCCCCCAAAATTCCATCAAATAAACTAATTATATTTTTCACTTCATAACGATTGAAAAATTCATTTTCGATCCCAATTTAGATTATCCAATTTAAACTCAATTTAATTTGAGTCGGTTAAAATTTTAAAATATTCAAAATGGAAATGGATTCACGCCTAAAATATTAATTTTAAGATTATTCATTAAGAATATTGATTTTTTTTATTTTTTATAATAGATATTAAGTCATCATATTTTAGATTTATGAAATTTTAGTTATTTTTATTAATAATTTAAAAGTGCAAAACATTTACATATTTAATTATATATATATATATTTTTTTTTTAATTTTTTTTTTAATTTTGGTAGTTAGTAGATTTGAATAAATAACTTTACTTGATTCATACTCCAACTCAACCATCTTTTTAACAATTTTCTAATTCATACACCAAAATACATTTAAATTTGTAGTTAAAAAATAATAATATATCTAAAAATAGATAAATTAACAAATATTTTTTTTTGGTACTGCAATAATAATTGTTTTTTAAAAATTTGAAAATGGTTAAAATCTCATTTTTGAACTTTAGAAAAATAATTATTTGATCCTTACTTTTAATTTACTTTTTATAAATATATAATAATTTAATTTTGAAAAGCCCTATGCGTTAAGGTACTTATCTTTCTCTTTCAGGCTGAACCTGATCACCTTGAAACATTGGCGAAGAACGGGAGAGAGGAGGGAATCGTCTGCTCCCGTTTATGTGACGAACCTAACCGTTGAGCCCGAGGGTTGTGTATGTACCCCACTGGGATCGAGATTTCCTCGGCTTCTTAGGCACATGAGGAACGTTTAGGCCATGGCGGCCAGTGCTCCTAAGATCATTTCGAGTGCGTATATTAATAATATAAACTTGAGCATTATTTAAATGGAGGGTGACAAAATTATAATGTCAATGATTTAATCACATATAATTCCAATTTTAAATTTTTTATAATTTAAAATATTATAGTTGTTAAACTTTTTCTATTTTAATTACAAATAAAAAGGTGTATGAAAATAATTTTATAGAAAATAAAATTGTGCTCAAACCTACCATAAAAATAATTTAAATTCAGATCACGAACCGATTAGGACATATCAATAACAAAAAATACATAGCATTAATGACTTAGTGTAACGATTTTAAAAGCTACGGAAAGGTTTCCGCACTCTTCTAAAGGGTATTTCATTCTTTTTTTCGACCAACGTGGGGTATCACAATCCACCTTTCTCTAGGGTCTAGCGTCGTCATTGACACTCATTCCTTTCTCCAATTGATGTGGGACCCCCACCAAATCCACCCTCTTTGGAGCCAACGTCCTTACTGGCACATCGTTCGACGCTTGGCTCGGATACCATTTGTAATGTCTCAGGCCCACCACTAGCAGATATTGTCCTCTTCGGCTTTCTCTTTTGTGGTTCTCCTCAACGCTTTAAAACGCGTCAGCTAGGGAAAGATTTCTACACCATTTTCGTTCTCTTCCCCAACCAATTTTGGATATCACACTTACATATCATTAACTTAATAGTAGAATTGTATAAAAAAAAATTAAAAAATTAAAATGTATGATATTGATTCATATCTGTAAACAAAAATAGAAAGACCCGACTTTTTGTCCACAACAATCCTCTACTATGAACCTGATAAAAGACCTGACATCCAAACATGCCATCTCAAAAAATCAAACCAATCAAAAATAGTTTGGGCTAATTGATTGATAGAGAGAAGTTACAAAAACGAAAATAATATGTGAGATCTCACCTCGGTTGGAGAGAAGAATGAAACATTTTCTATAAAGGTGTGGAAACTTCTCCCTACTAGACACGTTGTAAAACCTTGAGGGAAAACCCGGAAGGGAAAGCCCAAAGAGGACAAAATCTACTCGTAGTAGGTTTGAGCTATTGTAAATGGTATCAAAGCCGGACATTGAGCAGTGTGCTTGGGCTATTACATAATAGATCTAACAAGATATCGACGACTAAAAATGAAACCATGTGAGGATGTAGCAAAAAACAAAGAGAAAACGTGTGGGTTGGAAGAGAAGAAAATAGAGAGAGAAAGATGACCTAGAGTTTCTGAGACATGGGAGGGAAAAAACGAGAAAGATACTTGCAAAACTTACTGGACAAAGGCTTCGTTCATCCTAGCGTATCTCATTAAGGTGCACGAGTGTTATTTGTCAATAATCTAAAGACAATAACATGACCGATACTAAATTAACTTACATGATCAAGGCAACCGAAGCATGGCCTAAATAGTTAAGATATATATTCTCGAGCCATACGAAGACTATAAAAGAGCAGCATTGGCATGGCACAAATAATTGCATTTCTTCACATAAGACTACCAGTCAGTCAGCTCAAGATTCAATGTGTTTCTTCTTCATACAAAAACAAACCCAACAATGTAATTTCAAGCTCTAAGAAGATATAAAGGGAATATGAATACAAACTATACATCAAGCCAAGAGAAGTGGGGAGCACAAAAAAAAATGCCTAATGTCCTCTTTGGTTGTTCAGTGGATGCACCAACACCATCAAAATATTGTTCAAGAAACCGTAATTACCTCAACAAGTTTCTTATGCACATATCACTACACAGGAATGACATCGACTTTTGACGAGTCCTCGCATCTGAGGACGATACCGTCAAGGCTAGCTGGAAAAATGAACTTGCCCCACTGGCATCCCGTGGTTAACGGTTCGGGTGGGGGGACGATCATAAGCACGTTATCGTTTCTCTGAACAACTCCCATCACGCTAACCGTGCTACCCTCCTTTATGTACCTGCATTTGATAGTGACAGTAACACGCTAGTTTGAATAATCACTATCCTTAAAAATCATTTCACATTCAACAATAATGCTTGAAACTATCATCCTTGAATAGGCCTAATCTGTTAATTCACCAGGTACAGGAAATGTGAAACTTTCTAATAAATAAACGTTTCGGTCGTTGAACGTTCTATCTTAAGTTTAGATAACAGTATCCCTGTTTAAGATATTTGCTGGTTTGGCTGTTTAACAATTCTCTCACAATCTTCAAAAGATGAGCTAATAGGTTTGAAGAGAACGAAACATTCTTTATAAGCGTGTGGAAATCTCTCCCTAACAGACGCATTTTAAAACCTTCAGGGGAAGCTTGAAAAGGAAAAGCGTAAAGAGGATAATATCTGTTAGCGGTGGGCTTGGACTGTTACAAATGGTATCAAAGCCAGACATCAAGCAATGTGTCAGCAAGGAGTCTGACACGAAGCGGTGTACTAGCAAGGACGCTGGGCACCGAAGGAGGGTGGATTGGGGGTCCCACATCGATTGGAGAAGGGAATGAGTGCTAGCGAGGACACTGGACCCCGAAGGGAGGTGGATTGTGAGATCCCACATGGATCGGAAAACGAAGTATTCTTTATAAGGGTGTGGAAACCTCCCTCCAGCAGACGCGTTTTAAAAACCTTGAGGGGAAGCCCGAAAGGGAAAGCCCAAAGAAGACAATATTTGCTAGCGGTGGAACTTGGGGCCGGGTGAAATATAGCCAAGTTGGAATAGAAATAAGAGATAGTGGAACAGCAATGGGCAACAACTATTGAAATACAATGGTAGGAAAGAAAGCAAGGGATAACCATGAGTTTACAGAACTCTTGAGGCTATTCAAGGAGTCTACATGTAATTTTCCTCTTTGAAAATCAAATATTGTGTAAAAACTGAATAAAATTCATAATATAAAAGCTTCTAATATCATCAGAGATGTTGAATTGTAAGAGAAGAACAAAAGTTGTTTACCCTTCTTGTAACCGCATTACACGATCATCGCTTGAAAGATTCCTCCTTCCGAGCCATCGAACGAACTCTGGAGATAAGTCTTTGTTTGATGGATTAACATCAACAACAAAAGAGTCATCAACATATGGAGTCACCCTAGCACCATAACCAGTCTTAACCAAGGCTCTCAATCCGGACTGAAAATCCGAGATGTAAAAGTCGACCACGTGTCTCTATGGAAGAAAAACATAAGAACAAAATAAATTTACTGATATTGATCTTGAAGTTTAAGTATAGAACATATTCATGAAATTAAAATATTATCATTCATATAATTATAGCATTTCTAAAGTTGGCTTGGATCTTGTCTCGGGTGCTCCAAAAGAAAGATTTTCATTTTTTCTGGATTTTTTTCCCCCAAAGATCTTCTCTAGTGTTGAGGATAAAAGCGTTATACATGAAAGAAATCCTTCTTAGTGTGAGATCTCACGTCGGTTGGGGAGGAGAACAAAGCATTTATTATAAAAGTGTGGAAACCTCTCCCTAGCACACGCGTTTTAAAAACCTTGAGGAAAAGCCCAAAGAGGACAATATCTGTTAGCAGTGGGTTTGGGTTGTTACACTCGGGTTTCAAGAACATTAATGTTGTTGCCAAGTTCACGATCTCAAAATAAAGAGGGGCATGCCATACCTTCTGTCAATAGGTAAGTTGTTAGAGATGCGAAGATGAGGGAATGGAGAGGAAAGCTGAATACCTTTCAAATATCCTCTCAAATCTGAAATTTTACCGTTATTGACAGAGATGGTGACCCCAGTGGCATTCATAATTTTCAGTTTGAACATGTAACCGTCCAAATCCAAGTCCAAGCTCACCACTAACAAACATTATCCGCTTTAGCCCGTTACATATCGTCGTCAGCCTCACGGTTTTAAAACACGTCTACTAGGGAGAAATTTTCACACCCTTATAAGGAATGTTTTGTTCCCCTCTTATCTCATAATCCACCTGCTTGGGGGCCAGCGTCCTTGCTGGCACACCTCTCGGTGTTTGGCTCTAATACCATTTATAACAATCCAAGTCCACCACTAACAGATATTATCCACTTTAGCCCGTTACATATCGCCATCAGTCTCACGGTTTTAAAATGCATCTTCTAGCGAGAATTTTCCACACTCTTATAAAGAATGTTTCGTTCCACTCTCCACTCTCCAATCCACAGAAGATTTATTTAGCATTCTTGAGTAAAGCTTTTGCCAACTCCATATTCATTATTTGTCTTAATCAAAATCAGATTCTCATTAAAAAGAAAAGGGAAAAGAGTACTTGTAGTTGTCCTTTGTGTTCTTACTCTTAGCAATTGGAGCCTCTTTTTGGTCTGATCTTATGGCTATCTTTTGTATGGCCGTCACTTTTGTAACTTAATTCGGTTCGATAAAAGTTGATTTTCCATCAAAGAAACTAGTTAAAGCAAACCATGTGTTACAACTTGTAGTTGAACTCTACTTGGATTTGCTAATTCCAAAGGATTCGTTCCGTTCGATTCTTAACACCGTCATTTCGAATATTTGAAAACCGCGTTCATCAGCCATGGGTCCATCAGGGCTTCCAAGTCCAAACCATTTTACTAGCCAACATAACCAATGTGTGCATGATTGTGACAACTATCCATTATTAAGTATCCTCCATATACTTCAGAATCAAAGGGATCGCCAAACAGAAATAAAAAAAAACACTAAGAAAGGACTAGCATTATATGAAATCAAGGAATGAAGAAAAGTCAACAACCGAACGTTATTTGATCGCTTAATAGGCATATTACCTCCGATGATCTCAGTCCCCATGTGAATCGGCGATGACCAGGATTTGCAGGTTTCGAACCCCACCCTCGATACTCATATAAATTTGTAGATGTATAGACACATCTAGGAACCTTACGGAAGGATGACTCGAGAGGCACATTGCCACATGTAACAACCTGCAGAATTCGAGAGGTACTATGACATCAATAATGAATTCCCCTTTACAAAGTGCAACAAAATAATCATAAAATCGAAGTTCCGGTAATATTTATGGCATATTGTCACCGAAAATTTACATTTCAACAGGAGTATAGCTCACTAACCATATTTATTGATAGTTAAATGAATCAAAGGCCAGAAAAATACTTCAATGCAATCAAGAGTACTAATATTTACTTTGTTAGGCTACATACCCCAGAAACTTTGACATATTGGCCGTTTTTTGCAGTACGAAGTTCGGCATCAGGATTCTGAGAAATGAAACCGATAAGAGCTCTCTTTCCGTAACAGCTGTTCCAAGTAAATATTGCAACAACTACTCCAAAGAGTAGAATTACAACAATGAGAAGAACAGGATTGTGAACTGCAGCAAGAATAAAACTACCAGCAATTAGCCCCATGACAAATATGAGAATCACAGACCACAATATTAATTTTGGGAAGCTCTTTCCAAAAGAATATTCATCATCTGGGCTAAGGGTAGTCACAGCCGGATTTTGTGCTATCGAAGGGCCATTTATTTTCATTGAACCCATTGATTCCAAAGGACCAGACATTTTTTTAGGTGCCCCAGATGAGTTTAATGGACCAGAAGAAATGGGACCAGATGTTATGAGTCCAGTAGCAGGAAGAACTGAAGGAATAGGTCCAGAATTTTGGCGTGTCACTCCGCCTGATTGAGGGCCAGATACTTTCTTTACAGGCTCCCCATGTTTGTTTAGTGGCCCAGAAGTCGACTTCTTGAACGAGGTTGAACTAGTCATCATGCCAGAAGAAATAGGACCAGAGGTGGTATAACCCGCCCGAGGGGCTGCATTTGGCATAATTGGTCCTGAATGAGTTGCACCACTAAACGATCCAGTCCTTGTAGGAGCAACATTGAGAGGTCCAGACTTCCTAGACTTCGAGCCATCCGTAGGAATATCAAACATTTTTCCCAATTCTCCAGACTTCTTAATATTGCCACCGGTGTAGGGCATTGCCACCGAACTCATCGTCGGAGTCTTTTCTTTGTGCTGCTCTGGCCTCCCCGAGACGAAGAGGCCATTGCTAAGTTGATGAGATGGGAATCTAGAACCCATCAATTAGCTCAAAGAATCTCAGGTGGACAGAAGCAAATTGTGAAGACAACTATTACAAGATCAAACTAGAAATCAAGAGTCCTACAAGAACAAAACAATAGCATAAGAAAGAGATAAAAAACACAGGAGAACCATTTGAATTACAAAAAGAAAAACATGGGGCCATAAATGCAGCAGATTCTATTTCAGCAGTGATAACAACACAGATAATGAGTTTTCTATACACTTTTCTTCGAACAATGAAGGCAACAATAAGCATAAGTTTACCCACTTCTTGAGAAAGAATGAGTCAATAAGATAATCTCTGGCAAAAAATTGTTCCAATCCATGGAAAGAATAGCAAGTACATCAAGAAAACTAAAAATTAAGCAATAGAAAAGACTGAATTGCTAGGAGATCCCGTTATCACATTTATGGACCTTCTGCCCCCCGAAATCAAAGCTTGTTGCAAGATTTAAGCAGTTGAATATGTCCAAGAACAAAGAAAACTCGGCTTCAAATACATTTTCCTGGATCGAGTTAGCCAAAATTTCATCTCTCATAAGGTTAATTGCATCTTTTCCAACGACTTCAAATCTAGAAGCATAAGTAGGTAACAGATCCATAGCTCAAAGAGAAACCCAGAACAATTAATGAAATAAAGACAGCCCACATTCTTCAAATTGAAGAAATCCAGAGAGTTCAAATCAAAGAAACGCAGTAAAACCATGGCAGGAATGTGAAACAGGCCGATTCCATAGCGGATTGCAATCGAACAAAAAATCCAAGAGTGACCCATTTCGGAATGAACCCATAAACAGTCAAAACTCAGCTAAAAAATATCAAATAGGAAAACCCAGATCATGGAATCATTAGCAAGTGGTACGAAAATGGGGAAGATCTAGAAATATGAATGCGGATAAGGGGTGGATGATTGATTAAGAGTAGAAAGTACCTGTAAGAGACAAAATAAAGGAGTGAGTGACTGAATCAAAGGTATCGGAGGAAGTAATGGCGGTAGTGATTCAGGTAGGAAGGCGAGAGTGAGATCCCATTAGCACAGCAGAGGGTCATCTGTGTGTGTGTTTGAGTGTGTATAAAAGGAATTTCTCTCTCTTGAAAGAGCCGCAACAACTGGTAGGTTGTCTGGCCCGGCAAAAACCACCAAACGGAGTATAAAGGTCAAGCAAAACAACAATCCTATTTAACTATTCAGCTCGGAGGAGACATCCCACCTCTCTCTTTCTCTCTCTCTCTCTCCCCCTCTCTCACTCTTATTTTATTTTATTTTGTCAATGGTTGATTTGGAATTAAAAAAAAAAAATTATTGAAATTTTGGAGTTATATCAATTTAAATTCAAAAGTGAGGATCATTTATTTTTAATAATTTATAGCTCGATTAACAAAAAATATTTTTTGAATGAGTTGAATTGATGACATAAATAAAATTTACAAATTAATTTTATATTTTTTAGTTATTTAAAAAATATTGTTACATCTAAAATTCAATTACCAAATATTTACAAATTACTTTGTCAGTCAAATATTCTTAATTTTCATAATAATCTTGAAAAATAAGGCCGTGGTTGAATTGGGTAGTACTAACTCGACCTGTTGGACTCTTTAGACCATGAACCGGTCTCTATAGCTTGAGTTGAGTACTTCGAGTTTATCGGGTAATTTTACTTTATTTGTATAATTAAGTGAATAATTCGAAATTATTAATTAATTTTGTTGGTGAAGAAGTTGAGAAATTACCAAACCTAGAGGAAATTAATTAATTAATTAATTAATTAAACGTAATTGATAAAATGGGATGTTTATATTTAAAGTTTAATATTTATTAGAAAAGGAAGAGAAAATTAGGGAGGAAGAAGAACAGTCCACATCATCATCACATGTAGACAACCGCCAATGACACGGTTTCTATAGCTGTAACCAATGGATGTTTAATATATAACAGCCAGGTAAGATAATCCAAACTCTCCCCCTACATTTATTCTTTCACTAGAAAACAATAAAATTAAATTAAATTAATTACTTTAAATAAAATACAAAAAAATTCTTACACACAAAATTCAAATTTTAAGATTAAATTTATCACTTAATTAATATTTTATTTAACAATTTTTTAGTTTACTTTAATTTGAAACTAATTGTAAATCAATAATTAAAGTTTAGTCGATTTAATCCTCGGAGTGAAAAAAAAAAAAATTAGAATTCATTAATAATAATAATAAAGGTAATCGTGTTTTTAATATTTAGATGTGTTTGGCACGTTTAAAAATTGGATAACAATTAAAACTGCTATTTAAATGCGCATAAAAATAATTATAGTTACGAATTAAATAATTAGTTGAATTCTCAACTATATATTTTGTATAGATTATTAATCAATAATATCTTATATCATATATTAGAGATATTATAGGGGAAAAAACACATTTTTTTATTTTTAAATTTAGAGTTTTGGTTATTATTTCAATAAATTTTGGAAATAGGGAAAGGATGAGAAAAAAAAAACATTTTATTTATCGAGTTAACTTAGACAAACACGAAGATAGAGTTACAATCCAATCCAACCTAACTATACCTTACTTTAAAATAAAGTTAAGAATATTAACGCTTATATCAGCGATACAAGTTATTTGTAACGTATTTAAACTTTATGAAATTTTAATTATGAAGATTATATGTGAATAATAATTTTTTTAAAATAATTAAGAAGAAATCGGACAATCCAACCTAACCCAACTCAGGGTTAAGTTGGAGTTGAATTATATAACGAACTCGAAAATAGAGGATTAGCAACCTAACCCAACTCAGGGTTAAGTTGGAGTTGAATTATATAACGAACTCGAAAATAGAGGATTAGATTGGGTTGGACATGATAGTCACCCATCCAAAAATTAATTGGTAGGGATTTTTTTTTTTTTAATTTAGAAAATATAAAAAAGAATTGAGAATTTAAATTTTAAATTAGGTTATTATNTCATAAGGTTAATTGCATCTTTTCCAACGACTTCAAATCTAGAAGCATAAGTAGGTAACAGATCCATAGCTCAAAGAGAAACCCAGAACAATTAATGAAATAAAGACAGCCCACATTCTTCAAATTGAAGAAATCCAGAGAGTTCAAATCAAAGAAACGCAGTAAAACCATGGCAGGAATGTGAAACAGGCCGATTCCATAGCGGATTGCAATCGAACAAAAAATCCAAGAGTGACCCATTTCGGAATGAACCCATAAACAGTCAAAACTCAGCTAAAAAATATCAAATAGGAAAACCCAGATCATGGAATCATTAGCAAGTGGTACGAAAATGGGGAAGATCTAGAAATATGAATGCGGATAAGGGGTGGATGATTGATTAAGAGTAGAAAGTACCTGTAAGAGACAAAATAAAGGAGTGAGTGACTGAATCAAAGGTATCGGAGGAAGTAATGGCGGTAGTGATTCAGGTAGGAAGGCGAGAGTGAGATCCCATTAGCACAGCAGAGGGTCATCTGTGTGTGTGTTTGAGTGTGTATAAAAGGAATTTCTCTCTCTTGAAAGAGCCGCAACAACTGGTAGGTTGTCTGGCCCGGCAAAAACCACCAAACGGAGTATAAAGGTCAAGCAAAACAACAATCCTATTTAACTATTCAGCTCGGAGGAGACATCCCACCTCTCTCTTTCTCTCTCTCTCTCTCCCCCTCTCTCACTCTTATTTTATTTTATTTTGTCAATGGTTGATTTGGAATTAAAAAAAAAAAATTATTGAAATTTTGGAGTTATATCAATTTAAATTCAAAAGTGAGGATCATTTATTTTTAATAATTTATAGCTCGATTAACAAAAAATATTTTTTGAATGAGTTGAATTGATGACATAAATAAAATTTACAAATTAATTTTATATTTTTTAGTTATTTAAAAAATATTGTTACATCTAAAATTCAATTACCAAATATTTACAAATTACTTTGTCAGTCAAATATTCTTAATTTTCATAATAATCTTGAAAAATAAGGCCGTGGTTGAATTGGGTAGTACTAACTCGACCTGTTGGACTCTTTAGACCATGAACCGGTCTCTATAGCTTGAGTTGAGTACTTCGAGTTTATCGGGTAATTTTACTTTATTTGTATAATTAAGTGAATAATTCGAAATTATTAATTAATTTTGTTGGTGAAGAAGTTGAGAAATTACCAAACCTAGAGGAAATTAATTAATTAATTAATTAATTAAACGTAATTGATAAAATGGGATGTTTATATTTAAAGTTTAATATTTATTAGAAAAGGAAGAGAAAATTAGGGAGGAAGAAGAACAGTCCACATCATCATCACATGTAGACAACCGCCAATGACACGGTTTCTATAGCTGTAACCAATGGATGTTTAATATATAACAGCCAGGTAAGATAATCCAAACTCTCCCCCTACATTTATTCTTTCACTAGAAAACAATAAAATTAAATTAAATTAATTACTTTAAATAAAATACAAAAAAATTCTTACACACAAAATTCAAATTTTAAGATTAAATTTATCACTTAATTAATATTTTATTTAACAATTTTTTAGTTTACTTTAATTTGAAACTAATTGTAAATCAATAATTAAAGTTTAGTCGATTTAATCCTCGGAGTGAAAAAAAAAAAAATTAGAATTCATTAATAATAATAATAAAGGTAATCGTGTTTTTAATATTTAGATGTGTTTGGCACGTTTAAAAATTGGATAACAATTAAAACTGCTATTTAAATGCGCATAAAAATAATTATAGTTACGAATTAAATAATTAGTTGAATTCTCAACTATATATTTTGTATAGATTATTAATCAATAATATCTTATATCATATATTAGAGATATTATAGGGGAAAAAACACATTTTTTTATTTTTAAATTTAGAGTTTTGGTTATTATTTCAATAAATTTTGGAAATAGGGAAAGGATGAGAAAAAAAAAACATTTTATTTATCGAGTTAACTTAGACAAACACGAAGATAGAGTTACAATCCAATCCAACCTAACTATACCTTACTTTAAAATAAAGTTAAGAATATTAACGCTTATATCAGCGATACAAGTTATTTGTAACGTATTTAAACTTTATGAAATTTTAATTATGAAGATTATATGTGAATAATAATTTTTTTAAAATAATTAAGAAGAAATCGGACAATCCAACCTAACCCAACTCAGGGTTAAGTTGGAGTTGAATTATATAACGAACTCGAAAATAGAGGATTAGATTGGGTTGGACATGATAGTCACCCATCCAAAAATTAATTGGTAGGGATTTTTTTTTTTTTAATTTAGAAAATATAAAAAAGAATTGAGAATTTAAATTTTAAATTAGGTTATTATTTTTCTTTCCACATTATCTACACCCTTCACATTTCTGCGTCCGCGGCCTCAACTTTCCCGATAAACAAACCACACTCAACTATGGCGTCTTCCCTAATCGCTTCTCAAGCTCTGCCCCTCCGACGCCCCGTCCTCCCGCCGAAGCTCCACCCTTCTATTGCCATTTCTTCCCACTCCTTCAACCGATCACTACCTTCTCCGCTCCCTCTCCGTTTCTGCACCATCAACTCTCCAAATCACGGCCTTAGGGTTTTAGCTTCGTCATCGCCTTCTGCTTATTCACCAAAATTTTCCAATCAATCAGAAGAAATTCCGATTGGATCTCTCCTTACCGGTCCGACCCGGGTACTTGCTACTATTCTATCCATATCCCTAACATTTTCGACCTTGATTGTCAAACTGGTTCAGAATGTTTGGCCGAGTTTGATTGCCCAATGTCTCGTAAATCCATGTACTGGGCTGGGTGCCTTCCAGCCGGCCGGCTCTTTGTTCTTCGCTGCACTAGTCGACCGCCCTGGCGGAAATCTCAACACGCCTTTGACGGTGGTGGCTGCGGGGTTGGCCAAGTGGCTGGATATTTACAGTGGGGTTCTGCTGGTTAGGGTTTTGCTGAGTTGGTTCCCCAATATCCCTTGGGACCGGCAGCCACTCTCTGCAATTCGTGATCTCTGTGATCCGTACTTGAACCTGTTCCGGAATATAATCCCTCCAATATTCGACACCCTGGATGTTAGCCCACTTTTGGCTTTTGCTGTTCTGGGCACACTAGGGTCAATTCTGAAAAAGTAGCAGGGGCATGTATTGAAGGAGGCGACGAGTGGATTTGGTTGGTTGGTTGGTTGGTTAGTGGCGGAATTTACGACGAGTAAGGTATAATTCAATTCATCAAAATTTGGATTTGAGTTTTGGGGTTTTGCATATATCGTAATTTGGTTTTATTTCTGTTTTTTCTTCTTCAGGGGCTTTGAATTTGCGAGACATGATTGTAAATTTTAGTTAAAACAGTTGAATTTTGACAGCTTTTAATGAAGCATTTGTTCGATGAGGTTATCGTTTCGGTTTATGTAATCCCAGTTTCAGACTTAGAAAAGGCTGGTATATTTGAATTGGTTTGCTCGGCATAAATTATCATCTGCTGTGGTACTTTTCAGCAGTTTTACTACCCAGCCTTTTGCATACAGCTTGCTGAATGATTTAACACTGCTCCGATTACTATCTTTGCTATGTTTATGTTATAACAATAATATATGGGCTAAGAATATAAAGGTGGTAATCAACTTAGTGCCGTTTGGAATGACTTTCAAAGTACTTGAAAACTGTACCTAGAAAGTTGCAAGCGCTCCTTTACACCACTGTATTAGTAGAAGCTAGAGCACCCAAATTGAATTGTATCTCGAGCTGAGTAAAGGTCTTTTATCTATTTCCTATGAATGAGCCTGTTTTCATTACACCAATGGGTATGGTTAGCCACAGAACTCAAAGTTTGCTTACCTGCTAGTATGGGCGCACAGTGAATTGATTAGTTGTTAGAGTTGATAGGTTTTGAATTTGATCCGAAGCAAATATGTTTAAGTCTTCCTGTTTTTTCTCCTGGGGAGGAACGGATTGACTCGTTTCTTCCAGAGAGACATAAGAGACATATATCGACAAGGGATATGGTGTGATTGAATATTATAGAAAGTGATATTGTTTAATTAATATGATTTTGTTGAATGGTACTAGTCTTTGTATGGTTTGTGCGGATAGATTTTGCCATCATTCTTAGATGGTGAGGATTTCAAAACTAAAAGTGCATGCCAGTACAAGTATTCCATCTTTGTACGCATCTCGTATTTGATTATTGTGTTACAGTTGGATTCTGGCTGTACCCATATTGAGATTTCTTAATAAGCTGTCGATGAGTTGGTTGAATTTTACATATAATTTATACGTATGCTCTTCAGCTTCCTGAAACCAAGTTGCTTGATCTACTGTGTGTTATAAGAATTAAGAAATATCTTTTACCTCTGCACAGGTAGAAGATTTCTGAAATAGACAGAATCCAGAATGAAACCTACCGAAGTTGCTTGATTCTTCTCAGGTGTGAATGATTTGATGAATGGAAGTTTGATTTTGCGTGTACTTGTTTGTTTGTTTGGTGTGTGTATGAGAGAGACAAGCTGGATGCTTTCTAATTGGTAATCCTCGTTCATTCATGACGTTGATTGATGTTGATTGTTGAGGATTGTTGGGAGGGAGTTCCACATTGGCTAATTGGCTAAGTTAGGGGTTGATCATGAGTTTATAAGTAAGGAATAGATCTCCATTGGCATGAGGCCTTTTGGAGAAGACGAAAGCATAGCAAAATGGATAATATGAATAATATCACATCATTGTGGAGATCCGTGATTCCTGACTCAACATCGATGGAAAAAAAAAATAGGAGAACGGTGTTTTTGTTTTGGTTTGGTTTTATTCATAACTCTTTTCAGGGGTGGTTCGAAAGCTGGTCGATAGAGCCTGCTCCTCTCCCTTCCTCCCAATGTAGGGGTGGTTCGAAAGCGGGTCGATAGAGCCTGCTCCTCTCCCTTCCTCCCAATGTAGGGTTGGTACTCTTTAAAGAGCATGTCATGTAGGGTCGGTTCTCTTTAAAGAGTAGGTCGTAATTATTGTGAAATATGTCTTTAATCATTCAAATTCATACTCTTTAACGAGTTTGTCGTAATCATTTAAAACTTAAAACTCTAGAATGTACTCTGGTGTCTCCCTCATTTATGTGTTTGAGTGGGGCTTCTAATTTCTGTACATAATTGTGTATAGTATTTTTTTTTTTCCCCATTTGAATCCCCAAGTTAAAATGATACTACTTTTTAGTTTTTGAAAGTTATCCTTCTTTTGATATTTGTTTGCTATATGTTTTTAGGAATGTTCCAAAATTTGTGGTAACTAAACATCTAGTTTTAAATTTTTTTAGATTTGAATAAGAATTTTACTTATTATGGATTAATCATGTTCAATAACTTATCTACTCATTATTGTTGATTTTCTTGTTGCTCTTTCCTTTTCAACAACTATTGATATCAAATAGTTTAAACTATTGATATCACCGAGATTTTCATATTTTATTTTATTTTATGTTTTATTTTATTTATTTTCATGTTAAACTTTTTAGTCCGATCCAAGATTCAAAATTTTGAGGGTAAATTCGAGAGAGAAATCTAAAGAAGATAATATTTACTAGCAGTAGGATTTGACCTCTTTTCAATCCCAAATCATCGATTTCTATTCTTCCGATCTATATGATGGTTCTACCAGTTTTGAGTCTAGTGGAACAGACCCAAAGGCACCAAACCCT